TGACAACCCCACGCTCTGCACTTGCAGACGCACCGGTGGGATGGCTGTGAGCAACGGCAGAACGGTTCGGACAGGCAGAGCTGAAGGAAAGCCCAGATCTTCTCGAGACTGGAAGCAGAGAGGAGTTAGAAATCCCAGACCCACGGTCACCCACTCCTGAGTCCCTCTAAGGCTAAACGACTCACGTCAGCCTAATACAAAATCCCAAATCTCTGCGGTTTTTGGCGGACGAGCTCTGCCCTAGATTCAGCACGCGGTCCGTCCGCCCTTCACTGCTCCCCCTGCCAGGGTACAACAAGCAGCTGTCAAACCCCACTCGCACAACTTCCCCTTTAGCAGAAGCTCCTGGTTGGGAAGAAATAACTTTGAGGTTGTTGGAAGTGTGTGAGCCAGGTCCAGCCCCTACGCAGCTTCTCGGATGGGTGGGTATGAAGCCGACACATACAGGAAGGTTTCAATATTTCAGCTGCTGGGCACAAACCCCTTGTATTTCCAAGCTAGTAAAGCAAACGTTACTACGCCTTGAGAGAACCTGCCTCACTAAATCCTCTTCCATCCGTGCTGGTCCAACCTTTTCTGCATTTAAGAGAGAAGGAGTGAGGAAATCAAAATTCCTCAAGTGAAATGAACCATCCAGAGACTACAGTTAGTTGGTTTTGCTCTAATCCCCACACCTCTATCATCATCAGTGCATAATCTGCACCAGGGAGAGAAGTCGTGCTTTCCTTGTCAGTGACAAAGCCCAGGACAGCAAAAAATAATTGCTCTCCGACGCGCTGACGCGCAGAGCCGCATCCCGCCGGCACGCAGAGGGAGGAGGGGACGCAGCAGCGGGAGGCGAGTGCCTTCTGCAGTGACACCAAAAGGCAGGAGACAACCTGACCTGCGCGCGTGGGAGAGGGGGTGAAGAGTGGTGACACGCTCTTACCCATAAAAGCACTCATAAAAGCGAGAAGCAGACAAGGTGCCCCGTGCGGGTTTGCTCCCTGCAGAGCTCCTGTCCCTCCCTGGCCAGAGGTACCGGCGCGCTCGCTGCGGGACGGAGAGCTGCGTCCGACAAGGGCTGCCCTCTCAGCCCTCCCACCCGCAGCAGAGGAGCATCTGGTTGTCCCGGGAGCACGGCTCCGATGGGAAGAGTGGCCGAGGGCGGCCCGGTTGCACGCATTCATCAC